GGGAATTTGTGAACGTCGCAGAAATAAACGTAGGAGTTGAGAGCAGATGTGTATGAAGAGTGCGTAGACGTATCAATAGCAGCGCCAACTGCAATGGAGCGTTCAAATTTTAGACGCTCCAGAGACCACGGCTTCCGCGGTGGTTGCCGAGATCCCTCTGACAAGGTAGGGTTCATTTTTTGACTGCCCCCAACGTGCTTCGAGGGGGTTTAAAATAGAGAGATGATTGGTAAAAGAATGAAATGCAACCAAGCCCTGAACTCAGCGGCAAGGTAGCACCAAAAGACGCTTGAGGAAAAGAAAAATAGCGACCAAGCCCTGAACTCAGCGGCAAGGTAGCAACTTGTAGTAATAGTGAAAAGAGAAAGAAAAAATGACCAAGCCCTGAACTCAGCGGCAAGGTAGCAAGTCGTAGCAACAATGAAAAGAGAAAGAAATAATGACCAAGCCCTGAACTCAGCAACTCGGTCATAGATTTGGGAATTAACAACACCACCAAAAAGCACATCAACTCCACCCAAAATATCACCTCTCGATCAGTTCTTCTCGGTCTTCCCCTCTTTACACTCATGAGCACCATGTCCCTGTCGCCTGCAGTTTGGTCTCGAGCAGACATGAGCGTAATGGCAAGTCCCCACACAGATACCTTGGTTAAAACGCTTGCAAATTTCAACTCTAGGTCGTTTATCCCTCGAAGACGGTGACGAAGAGGAAGTCGAAGCCAGCTGCGCGTTTTCAACCACAAATGCTCCATAGTTTTCGATATGGGTGCGGAATGTGTTTCGAAAAGCATCGTGATTGACGTCCGCGAGAGTGAGGTCACCTCGATTAGCGACCAGGTTACGAACTGCTTTATCATACGAGATGAGACGAGGATGGAGCGATGGATCGATAGAGAGAAAGAGATCACCCATGTGATTCTCATAGGTAGCCAACTCGGAATCGCGATGAGGGAAAAGGTGCAGAGTTGCACGCTTGAATAAACGGAAAGCTGTGTTCCATTGCGCCTCATTAGTGACCGTCTTCGTGACTTCAACATCTTTCTCCACTTTAATCTCAAACGCCCCGACCTTCTCCTTAAGTGACTTGGGGACAGCTGGAGAATGAATGCTAGTGAGTACAGCATCGAAGTCGCAGACTTTGTTCTGGATAATAGAGTTCCATTCGCTATCGGGAAATTCGGGTCGACTGACCGAACCCTTAAGCAAGTCTTTGAATGCTTTACCTCCTCGACGATAGTTAGCAGCGAGGGCATGAGTGGCTCGGGCCCCAGAAGACATAGTTTCGAGAAGAATTTTGTCCCTCGCAACGAAAGGAACCAAGTCTTTATCGAATTTCGACCTTTTACCACCGTTATCGCTTCCATCGGATGAAGACGAAGATGAGGATGAATCACCATCTGAAGGACTATTTCGATGGTGACGGCGTCGTTTTCTATGGTGCGATCGGGAACCACTATTATCTCTCCCAGTGCTATTACTACCTTGATTTCCCCCTCCTCCATCAGCTTCACCTTCGAGTCCTGTAGCAGCAGTGGTGCCATTTCCGGATGTCTGTCCCCTCCTAGCTGCGAGGCTACGCTCGGAATCCAGAGAGTCGATCTGTGCAAGCCATGTTTTGATGGATGACTCATGCACACTCGGAGGACCAGGTAGACCAGTAAGAATGAGTACAATTCCGGTTTGGGCAGAGGCTCGGTCAATTTTATTGTCTCGGTAGTCATCGACGATCTTTTGCAATTTTTTGACCGTCTCGTTGTCGAAACTGACTCCGGGAGGAGGACCCTGCTCTCGTTCTCTAGTCGAGGGATCATTCGGTTCTCCAGCGCTCCCAGAATTGGGTGTAGACCGAGTTTGGTGAGTTGTACCCGACCCAACGGTAGCACTAGAACCAGTAACGAGCTGAGAGAAACTTGGACCCGAAATAGAGCTACTGCTCGGGTTAACAGCTCCGTAAGGTACGTAGATAGGCCCAGTGCTTGAACCAGTAGTCGCGTTACCGTTGCCTGCAGAAGAAGCGGTAGTGCTTCGTCGTTCATCGTTGTCTTGATTCTGAGACATTAGAGAAGAGCGCGCAGCTCTGAAGAATGTTGATGTATTCGAAGAATAGAGATATATAAGCGATGAAACACTGTATACAACGTTCAGTGAGCGAGAAGAGCTGAATAATACATATAGAACATACCTGGGTACAGCGGGCAGTGAGCGAGAAGAGTGAAAGACTCGATGCTCATGACCGCTGTACCCACATGACCGGAAAATTCCGGTGTTATGCCGAGCGCGGCTAAAAATTTGCACAGCGGTGCAGAGCATAAGTTGCGTGCGACGCAACTGAGTCGTTTAGCGAAACGACTTGAGGGCAGTAAAGGCACGTAGCGACGTGCGCCCTTCGAGTCCTAGGACTCACAATATTGATCTAGGTAAATTCCAAATTTACCGTCAACCGGATGAGAGGCGATAATGTTAGCCACTACACCATAACGGAGTTGTTAGATATGTTCATATGGATTCTGACATCTCAGCAAGATTGGGTCGATTCCTAACATATAAATAAGTATAGTCCTTGGCTTGAGTCTGTGGAGTAGGGATAAGCTTCGAGTCGTTTGGGTGAGGAATTATTGACTTGAAAAGGGGGGGATTGAGTGGTTCTACTTAAGTGTAAGTTTTGGAGGTGCTGGGAACGAGGGTATTATTCCAAACACAGTACTCAGTCTCCCCTGCGCAGAGTATTAACTTGAACGATATAAACATATATGTACACCCATCAGGGTCAACAACGGAGGATTTTTAAAGAAAAAGTACGGGATAGAGGACCATTTTGAGTTTTTTTTTTTCACAGGTGATCGGACCTGGATTTAAGAAATAGACCGTTTTTTCATATTGTTTGCAAAGTTTTGTGAATCTGCAGAAGTGAGGAAAGTGGTCTTACACTATCATGTGGTTACATAAGGGATTCTATACTACTAGGAGAGTAGGAGATAGCAAATTTCTTCTCTAAACTTTTTTCCTCTGGTTGTCGAGTTCTTGTTTCATAACCAAGTTATAATTCTATAGGGGGAGGACAAGATGTGAGGAGAGGTGTTGAATTTGGACGTTGATCAAGATTCGGTTCTTATAGGTGAGTGTAAATGGTTTGCTAGCTCTCTCCATCATATACACTGACGGCCAAAAATGATTTCACCCCCTACCAAATAGGGTAAAAGATCCGAGCCCGATTACAGTGTCGGCACAACAGAATCCCTCTGTTTGGGTGGTTTCCCCTTCATTCTGACTGCTCGTATTTCATGAGCAAGACAAGTATATGACCCTCAATAATGCCAGCAGCTTAAACTCTGAGGAGGTCAGATTGGATACAATGTATCCTAAGAAATCAGCCTATGATAGAATGTATATCTGTCTACCATAGGATGTTAATAGACAATATTTTATCCTATATAGACAGGTGACTTTTCATCCTAAAAACAGGCAAATTCATCCTATCCCAAATTGCAATAAATCAGCCTACTCCAACGATAAATCAGCCGATCATTGGATACTTTGTAGCCCAAGTTCCAGATACATCTTGGATCATTTTGTTAAATACATTTAGGTAGGAATAATCGTGTATTGCTCAGTATTACATATATGTCATATAGCGCTATGCTCCTCTCCCTGTTCTCCTTTGTCACCATCATCACCCTCTTCACCCTCGTCACCATCAACCGCCCATACTCATCAGGACATAATGAATTTTCGAGTGTTCGTAGATTCATCCGAGCTTGTGAAATGCACGCGCGCCATTTGCGACGGATATTACAGAAGTTCCGAGTATAAAAACATATGTATGTACTCACCTGCTTGTCTACAAATGACAGCAAGAACGAGCAAGCGGTGGGAATACAAGTCAATATAGATACTGTGGCACCGAATAGCGAAAAACAATCAAACTCACCTCATACGAAACGTTGACCATGAATAAATTGTCTTACCATTCCCTCCAAGTATATATATGGATGTGCTCACCTGTGTGTCTAAGAGCAACAGCAAAAACAAAGCAAGTGGCGGAAGAGGAGGAAATTTGCATATCAGGAGGTGCAGATGGATCTGCAGTGACCTCGTGGTGGGCGTGTTGAGCTTGGAGTTGGGCTTGGTTGGGAGCAAAGCGAGAGGGGGCAGTTTACCGACACTGTCCAACGAATGAACATGAACTTGAGGCATGGGAATTTGAATTCTGGGGACCAAGGAACAGAAGAGGAGTCAGGAGATGATTGAGAAAACGAAATGAAACACACCACCCAACACATCTCATTCTTCCATGCTTACTCCGTCCGTCAAAAATCCTCCCAGCTCCCTCGAAAGCCCATGTGACATTCAGTGTCCAAACGCCTTGAACTTGAAAGGCCCGGAAAATGTTGGTGAACGAAGGAGAAGTTGAAGAGGAAGCGGGAACATCGTTGTTGTAAAAGAAGAAACCAAAACACGTGACAAATCAACCGGCAGACATGTGCTGACACGTGGCAAACTCTGAACCAACTCCGAAAGTCAAAATTACATCTCGACACCATTCGCATTGATCATGAATGTTCTTTCTATGCTCGCTATGAACAGTTTGACATGGTAGAATGTGTACCTATAGACAGATAAAATTTCAAGTTACATTAATTTCATCCAATAAATAATATCCTATGATAGGATAATTTTTATGTTTCAAGGAAGGATACTTCCTTGGGGCAACTTTTGTGACTGTCATAGGATGAAACTCCTGGATAAAAAATATCCTATAGCTTAGGATAATTTTTAAAAGCGTCTATGATAGGATGGATGTAACTATTCATCCTATCATAGGATTGCTAGTATCCTATGGGAACCTCACAGTGAAAGTATCCCAGAAATGGATTTCTCGGAGATGTTTCCTTTTTTGGGGGGTGAAATCATTTTTGGCCGTCAGTGTAGCTGGCTCTCGGAGCAAAAAAAAGGAGAAGAAAACAAGAAGAAAAAATTTACATAGGGTTTGGAGCGGAATTCCGTTACAGGGAATCGAACCATGGGCTATCGCGTCCTTCAAGATTACTTCGATGAGAGGCGATAATGTTAGCCACTACACCATAGTTGTTAAAGATACATTGATGTTTCGACATGATTGAGTCGATATCCAACATATAATTATCGTCCTTGACTCGAGTCTGTGGATAGGCTTATCAAAGGAGGTACTGGTACTTAAGTTGAACAGGGAGTGCTCCTACTTAAGAGTAAGTCTTAGAGGTGCTGGGAACGAGGCCTAGTCTCAGGTTAGTATTTACTAGTCTACATATCAATACCTAACTAAGTATGTACTTTTTTTTCTTCACTGCGCCGGTACTTAGTAGAGCGACTTATGTACGTATATATTAACGCAGTTGATTGATGGACCAATATGTAAGGAGCATTCATTTCCGCGGATGTCAACTCATAAAATTTATGCTCAATTTTTTACCCCTATTCGATATGCCCGACGGTCGGCAAAGGATGTCTCTTTGATTACTTATTTCGAGCAGCATCTTATACTGTACATTGGTTCTTGTACATCACGGTGCAAGTCCGTAAATCGGGAGGAAGGACGTAACAGTCGATGAAGTCATTCTCACTTGAATCGACATGAACAGAGTCGGACTTTCCCGAGCGGGAACGAGCGGGAAACCCACCTCTGTTTTCTTACCTCTTGACTCCCACCACTGTCCGATCGACGGGTAGGACCACGAGGAATATGTAAGGTTGGTGTAATACTAATCCTTCCTTCCGTTGAGTATCTGATTGAATTCGCATAGACAACTCGGAGAGAAATTTAACGAACAACTTGAATTTGACGAAAAAAGACCAGACCCAAAGCATGCCTCGAGTTACGATCGTTCCATGCCAAAAATAACAACCAACCGCAACATTGTCCTTGTCGTTGAATATCTACACGTGACGGTGTTTTGTTCAAAACTCGGGGACGATATTACAATCTAGCCAACGTTTCTGCATCACCGTGGCCGCTGCCAACAGCCAAGACGAGATCGGTCTCATGTCAGAGAACTACCCTACTCTGACTAATTAGTGCGATTGGAATCGCTGGACCACAGAATTCATTTCGATAACAGGGCTAGGTCTTTGAGCTGTTCGTCTGTCTAGTAGATCAGATTACCTTAGTCACTACTAGGGATACACTCTTTCTCTCTATATTTATCCAGTGGCCGCTGCTATCACTGTTCATACATGGGACAATATATAACGGAATACCGAAAATGAAAGACGGTATTCCAAAAAAAAAAGTACGGAACAGAAATCCGTTTTGAGTTTTTTTTTTACAAGTTATCGAGCCCTGAGGTTTTAAACTGGAATTCATAACGTTTTCACCACACATTTTCCCAAAAAAAAGGCATTTCTGGCCAGCCGGCTATGTTGGCATTCGAAACCGTAACACACATTTTGGGCCTATGAGCTGCTGTCGGACAAAATCAAGTTCAAAATCAATGTGTAATGCATAACACCCGTTGATCGTAGTGGTACAGTAGTACTAGTTAGAGAGTAGGAGATAGTAGTAAGTTTCTCTTTGAAGAATTTCTTTGTTTGTTGAGTCCTTTCCATGACCAAGTTGTATATAGACCCCTGGAGAGGTATATGATCATTGAATCTGAACATTGAACGGCAAATTTTCTTCTCATAGGCAAGTATAAATGGTTACTAGCCATTTCTGTCATACTTAGTTCTCACAACAAAAGAAAAAGAAGAAAAAACGCCGCCCGGGTGTTCATTCCGTTACAGGGAATCGAACCCTGGGCTATCGCGATCTCAAACCAGGCATTCGCATGTGCGTATGAGAGGCGATAATGTTAGCCACTACACCATAACGGAGTTGTTAGATCTGTTTATATGTATTCCGACATCTCAGTACGACTGGGTCGATTCCCAACATATAAATAAGTATGGTCCTTGGCTTAAGGCTGTGGAGTAGGTATAAGCTTCGAGTTGGTTGGGTGAGTAATTATTGGCTTGAAAAGGGGGGAGATTGAGTGGTGTAAGTTTTACATGCTGGGAACGAGGGTATTATTCAAACATAGTAATTAGTCTCCCCTAGGCAGAGTACTAACGATATAAACATATATATACACTCATCGGGGTCAACAACGGAGATGAAAGAGGATCTTTTCAGAAAGAAAAAAGTACGGAACAGAAGACCATTTTGAGTTTTTTTTTTCTTTTTCACAGGTAATCGGACCTGGATCAAAGAAATAGACTTTTTTTCATATTGTTCGTAAAGTTTTGTGAACCTCCAGAAGTGAGGAGAGCGGCCTTGTACTATTATATGGAAATCTTACATGGTCTAGGAATAGTAGTACTTAGGAGAGTAGGAGATGGGAGGTGTTGAATTTGAACGTTGATCGGGAGTTAGAAATTTCTTTCCCTTATAGGTGAGTGTAAATGACTACTAGCTATAACGACTGGCTCTCGTACCAGAAAAAGAAGAAAAAAACAAGGACAATAATTCGTGAGTTCCGTTACAGGGAATCGAACCCTGGGCTATCGCGGCCCTCAGTAAACAAATTCATGAGAGGCGATAATGTTAGCCACTACACCATAACGGAGTTGTTAAATGTACATTGATGTTTCGACATGATTGGGTCGATATTCAACATATAAGTATCGTCCTTGGCTCGAGTCTGTGGATAGGCTTTTAGTTGGTTGGTCTATCGAAGGAGGTCCTGGTACTCAAGTTGAAGAGGGGAAGATTGAGTGGTCCTACTTAAGTGTAAGTTTTAGAGGTGCTGGGAACGAGAGGGAACGAGGCGTTAGTACTTTAGTATCTACTAGTCTACATGTCAATATCTAACTAAGTATGTACTTTTTTTCCTTCACTGCGCCGGTACTTTGTAGAGCGACTTATGTACGTATATATTAACGCAGTTCACAGTTGATTGATTGATGGAACGCCAGTGTGTAAGAAGCATCCAGTTCCGCGGATGTCAACTCGTAGACTTTAATTTATGCTCAATTTCCTACCCCTATTCGATTTACCCAACGTCGGCGAGTACAAGAAGTTAGAACAAGGATGAACGTTCTCTTTTTTGATTATTTCGACCAGCATCTTATACTGTACATTGGTCCATGTACATCACGGTGCAAGTCCATAAATCGGGAGGAAGGTCCGACGTAACGCGCAAAGAAGAATCGATGAAGTCATCGGATTAGAGTCATTTTTACGTCACTTGACGTTCATGAGACCACTTTTGGAGTTAATTTAGCCGGACTTTGCCGAGCGGGAACGAGCGGGGAACCCTCTTCTGCACATCTCGGTTTTCTTTCCTCTTGACTCCCACCACCGTCCGATTGCTGGGAGGTCCGACTTGGACTACGAGGGATATAAGGTTGGTGTAGTTATAATTCCTCTCTTTTGTTGAGTATCTGATCAAATTCGTGTAGACGAGAGAAATTTCACGACAATTTGACGAAAAAAAATCAGACCCAGAGGATGCCTCGAGTTACGATCATTCCACGCCAACAACCAACCTCGACGTCGTCCTCATCATCGACGACGTCTACAAACACGAGTTCCCCTTCACCTTCAGCTTCCTCTTCTCCTACCTCTTCTTCTCCATCCTCAACCTCGACAGTCACCGGTTCTCCGTCCTCTTCAACCACATCGACATCTACTGTAAACACCAGTGCATTCTTCCCAGACCCAAGTCAACGAGTTCAACCGAGTAAGGACAGCTCAGAGCTTCCCAAGGTACATATATGTCCGCTTTGCGTCCTCTTTTTTCTCTTTGGTTCCATGGTTCCGTACCGCAAGATTTCTTTGGTTTTTGTTGTTCATCGTGCTAACAACTATACCCCATCGATTCGTCCATCGATTCATCTACTCAACTACGCATTATTACGACACGCATGATCGCCTCGCGTTCGTCTCTGTGTCCAAACTTGGATTTGGGATTGCCTTGGCTCGGCTTTTGATGGGATCGGTGATTGACGATTTTAGAGGGTGTTAGAGTGGATATTTCTTTCGTTGGCTATCATACTCGTTTTCGGTTTGATCGTACGTCGGTGAGTCGGAGTTACCCCGGAATCTTATTTTTTTTTTCTCATTTCTTTTTCTTTTGTTTTCTTCGGAATTTTTGACTTACTTTTCTAAACAAAAATAAAGCTTAAACCAACTTCACATCCAACAACGTCCGCTCTCCGAATTCTTCTCCTGTTTCCGTCGTCGCTCTCGCCGTCATCACCATCGTGCATGCTGTCATCACAATCCCAATCGCAGCAACAATCGACTCTTTTGCCATTCCCGTCAATCCTCTCAATCTACTTCTACTTCTTCATCCTCGTCGTCCAGAGTGACTGGGCATGTAAACGTCGTACGAGGTCGTTATGATTTACGTGTACCGCCAAGCGCGTATGTTGGTGTTGGTGTCGGTGTTGGGGCTTTGAGGACGACAACAAGAAGGTATGCACCGGTAGCTCTTGATTTGGCGAACGTACCTCTGTCGGCTGAGTTGGATGCGTTAGGGAGAGGAACTGGAGATGCAGGAGGAGGTGCAGGAGCGAGGTTAGGGTTAGGGATTTTAGGAGGAAGAGCAGCGACGAGAGGAGTAACGAGAGCGATGAATGTGGATGAGGGAGGAAGGAGATTGGATAGTGGTCGTGGATTCGATGGGGAAGGGTTTGAGGGAGAGGATGGGGATGGAGGATTAGGAGGAGGAAGAGGAGAGAAACCGGAAGAGTTACCGGCTTATGATAAGTACGGAGGGCCACCTGGGTATCATGAACATGCAGTGGGAGGAGGAAGAGGGATGCCGGTGATAATGACAGTAATGTCGGATGGTGTTGAGGTTGGGGATTATGAAGCGTGGATACGACAACAACAACAGCAGCAACAGCAGGAGATGCAGGATGGGGAGGAAGGAACGGTACAGGGGAGGACGGTGCAAGATGGTGTTGGTAGTGGTCGTGGTGGAGAGGAGCGGGAGGAACAGGAGGGGATAGTGATGTTTACGGGTGTTGGAGCCGGTGGTGGACTTGGAGGTAATTGGAATTGGAGAAGGGAGGGGAGTGGTAGGAGAGTAGACTCGGATGGAGGTTCTGGAGAAGGTGTTGGAGTCATAGGGGTTAGGGAAGGTGATCGAGCTGAACGCGAGGCTGAAGATAGAGGAGGTGCAGAAGAAGATAGGACTGGTGCAGAAGAACAGGGCACGACTGTTTCGAGGGAGGAGAGGGAAGGACGGGAGGATAGGGAATAGAGAGGGGGATGATGTTGGTAATTCACAAACGATGAATCGGACGGCGAGTGAAGGAAATGATAGCGTCCCGAGAGATTTTACGACCACTACCACCAATATCGGCCCCTTCCATGATTATGCGATGATGATCAATATCGATGCTCGATCGAACGATGAACGATGAATGATCACCAACACATACGCACATGTTTTTCTTTTTTCGTTTTTTTTCCTACTTGGGCCCGGGCTTCTCCGGTTTTATACATGCAGCGTTATTTTTGTATGCTTCTTGGATTGGTTTTTTGTTTCTCTGGGTTCCTTGCCCCTTTCGACCTCGCTGCTTTCTTTACTCTCCTCTCTTTTTTACATTTGTGTCCTGCATTGTTTTGTTGCTTTCACTTCCATGCTTCTTTTCTGTTTCTTTCCCTCTCTTTTTTTTTCTGTTTCTGCTTGTTCTTTTTGGGGCTTGTGGTACTCTGCATGTATCCGCATTCTATAGTTTCATCCTGCTTTCCGATCTTGGATTTGATCTTTTTTGTGTACATACTTCCAATTCATTCGTTGTATTTCTGCTCAATTTCGATTTTTTTCTTCCCATCCTTTAGTCTATTCCCTCACATCTACGCAAGCATCTTTTTGCTACCTCGTCTCTTTTTGTCTGTATCCCCATCTCCAGAATCTTCTCCTGGTTAGTTAGTAAGGTTTGAGTTCTATACCAATAGTTAGTAATGATTAATCTCATTGTACATGTGTACCTATGTTGTATCCTTAAAAATTCTATAGCTTAGTTGCTTTGAATCTGATATTGATTGAGATTCCTTTTTTGTTTGCTTTTTAAAAGGCCTTTAATTAGCACTTCAGGCACTCCCTCTTAAAAGATCTAATTAGGTGGACCTCTTTCCCTAAGTAGACATCACTAAAGCACCATGATGTTTGATTCACCTGGGATGTATATACCATCAAAAGCCTTCACTGAGGCCTTATTCAAGGGTGTACTTCCTTGATAATCACGTTCTGGTCTGCTTGACACTTGCCTTTGACTCTGATTAAATGAGAAAATGCTTGACCATTTAGTGTAAACAAGTTTGGCCACACCCTCTGACAACTTTGTTTGTACTAGTATGTCATGCAAACTATATTTAATATTTATCAGGTTATGTTGGTCAGCTCAGCACATAAATTTCTGAGTTACAAGAAAATATAGTCCAATCATTATATTTATCAACTATCTATGCCATGTCCACTATGATTACCTTACCAGATTTAAGCCCAAAAGCTGCTTTGGAACCAAAATATGAGGATGTGTAAATATCTCGGTTATAAGGGGGAATCCAGCAGTCACATAAGGGACCCACTATCCAATCTTCATCTTCATGTAAATGTAGTATACCAGAACTGCCATGTGGTTCCCAAGGCAATTCAGTACCATGAGAAGAGGACTTTTTCTGACCTGTGGCTGTGTTCCAAATCCAGACTGTGTTGTCAGACAATCTGGAAGCAAGTTGGCTGCCATCAGGTGAGAATGCAACTGACCACACCCCAGCTGTATGGCCCTCTAGCTTAGCCTCTTTCTGACCTGTGGCTGTGTTCCAGATCCCTCTAGCTTAGCCTCTTTCTGACCTGTGGACTGTGTTCCAGATCCAGACTGTCGTGTCAGGTGATCCAGAAGCAAGGTGGCTGCCATCAGGTGAGAATGCAAGTGAGCACACCCAACCTGGATGGCCCTCTAGCTTAGCCTCTTCCTGACCTGTGGCTGTGTTCAAAAACCATGACTGCGCTGTCTAGAAATAATCCAGAAGCAAGTCAGCTGCCGACAAGTCAGAGATGAAACTGACAGACACCCAAACTAGTTATAAAATGGTACCTCAAGCTTAGCCAATTTCTGAGACCTCAGACTATTAGCAGTACCAAAACCAAAATAAAGTATTGTCCAAGTATGAACACAGAAGCATCAGCTTAACTGCCATCAGGTGAGAATGAAACTGACCGCACTGGAGTACTGTAAGGCCCTCTAGCTTAGCATCATCCATAACACTGTGACTGTGTACTCAGATCCAGACTGTACTATTGCTAGAATAATTATCCCAGAAGCAAGTTGGATGCCATCAGGTGATGAATGCAACTGCACTCACACCTCTTGCACCAGCACCAGGACCCTCTAGCACAACCTCCACCTGCACCTGTGACTGTGCACCAGATCCAGCACTGTGCTGTCACCTGAACCAGAACCAAGTTGGCTGCCATCACCTGAGAATGCAACTGCACCTACACCTGCACCTGCACCTGCACCTCCACCTTAGCCTCTTCCTGCACCTGCACCACCTGCACCAGCACCTGGAGTCCATAACCATACTGCCTGCACCTGCACCCATACC